ATTTTTTTTTTTTTTTTTTTTTTTTTTTTTTTTTTGAATGCTTTTTATGAATGGAGGAAAATGTTTAATTTGTTTGTTATGAATGTATATATATATATATCAACATCTCATAACACAGTGAACTGCAGTTACCAGAAGAAGAATCGGGTTAGTGATGAGGAGCGTTTGAATAAAGCCTGTGAAGCTGGCATGGATTATGGTAAACACACATTCTCCTTCCTCAGCCATTGAGATCCAGTCACAGCTCTGATATAACACCAATATAACACAACTATTTGACAGTTTATAAAGCGACAGTGGTGGGAATGGATCTGAAACAGGACTCTGACATCTATGACATGAAGGTGGAGCTGGTGCTGAAAAAAGGTACACTTTATTAATTACTTGTGTCCATCTAGAGCGTATGCGTACAATCGAACGTGTAGCTTTTCAGCGTACTCCATTTAATAGCATGGAGTATGAACGCAGGCGGTTTACACATGCACTCTAGAAAGCTTCGGGTGTCTGTTCTTGCTACAGTCTCCACTATTTTGTTGCTGATGTTCGTCTCTTAATTTCGTTTTCTAATGTGTAACAACGGCCCGGGTCAGTGCTGCCACTTTGTGGAACAACTGCCCTGATAGCTCAATTACATCACAGAGACGGCTATTTGACATCTGCATTTACATCTACTGCTAGATGTATTTTTTTTTGAGTGTTTGCTCATCTGCAATAGGTCTATAGAATGTTTCCTATCAGATGTCAAATAGACGTTTAGAAGATGTCTTTAAGATGTTTATGATTTAGAATGCATGTAAAACTGACATCTTAAAGACATCTGTCAGATATTTGTACACAGCAGATGCTTTCCAGATGAAGCGATCTTTAACAGACATCTTGCAGACATACAGTGCATGCTATAAGGGTGATTAGTGCAAAACCAAGTCAATATGCATGTGCGACCTGCGCGTACAAAGTATCGCATTGCAAAAATAGAATGGTGCATGTGATGAAATTTGCGTCACACTGACCCTCTGTCACAGTATTGGACGTTTGGTTGTTTTCTCCCTCATGTGCCCATATTTGGTCGTTCCTGTTCCTGTCCTTGTTGTGTTTTTATTCGTTTACCTCCTTTCACCTGTGTCTTGTTAATTAGTCATAGCTCCTCTTCCATTTGTATAAATTCCCTTCCTTTAGTTCTCCGAGTTGTCGGTTATTGCATGTTGTTACCCTTCTTGTGTGGATGTTCCCTTCATCTTTCCCTGTGGATTCATTAAAATAAAGAATTAAGATCATCTTCGTCGTACGCTCTTCTGTCTACATTCCAGCATGTAAGCGTGACACCCTCGCGGATGCATAAAAACCGAAGTATATTTTAGGGTTATAAGTATAATGAATTGCATGGTTTTTATAACTCTCTTGAAATGTGGCTGACATTTGGCACGTCTTGATAAAATTGTCTCCTTTTCTGTCCTATAGGCACTGATGAGGAAGTTGAGGGGAAAGTGAGACTATTCCTGGCTCGTCCCAGTTGCAGAGGACATTTAGGATTGGTAGAAGGCAAGTCGTACCTCATCATGGGCAGATCTGTTGACCTGCCAAAGCTCGGGGGAAGGTAGGTGTCAGTATTTCCTATTCTGCTTTTGCACAGAAGGACCCACAACCCACTAAATTTAGGATGCAGCATAACATCATACACACAATTGTGTGACATTATCTAGAGCTCTGTCTGAATACACTAATTTCCCTCATGTAGTGTGATATTCACATAGAATTGCTGTAGGACTCATTTCTTAGACTGACATAAACCAAATCAATCTTGGGTAAAGCATCAGCTTAATGTCTGTTAGTGTGATGTTTGTTTTTAATGCTTATTTATAAAATAAATTGATTCATATGTATTGCATAGTGTGTTTTCTGTTGTTTTAGTCTGCAGTATATCTTGGGAGAGCAGACCTGGATTGAATACTGGCCTACAAGAGAGGAAAGCCCAACTCCAGAACACAGGGAGCGATACATCGGCATCACTAAGCTCAAGAATAGCCTTCTCAGATACAGATGTACTTCATAAATATAGTTATATAACAACTATTTCTTTATTACAGGAAATGTACCATTATCTTTTGCTTACTCTAAATAAATTGTTCTTGATGATAATAATGTTCATGCACCATTAATCATGATGTTTAATCATGTAGTTCCTGAATTCCTATTTTAAAATCTTGTTTTCTGAATTGACCCTTCTCTGGGAGTCTGATTGACATGCGATATGACCAACAAACCAGACAGGAGAGTTAGTAGATTAAGAGTTGAACTTGAAAATGGGGTATTGACGTCTTTGCGGAGTTGGGACAACATACTTTCTGATGTTCATTCACAGTTGAACTAAGGGGCTACAGCAATCTGTCACGACACATTAAAGAGCCACAATATGGTAATTATCGTTTGAATTTCTAAAAAAATGACTAAATTTGAGAGCTGAGAATTTGTTTCATACGAAAAGTAACCTGCTTTGTCTTGTCTGTCGGCGTGTGTCTTCTTTGCTCCGTGATGGCTTGTCAGACATGTAGCAACAGTAACTAAGGGGGGTGGGTCTTTGCGAATCGTGTAATTTTATATAATACTCCAAATTATATTTTCATTTAAATATATATATATATATATATATATATATATATATATATATTTTTTTTTTTTTTTTTGAAAAGTTATTGATTCTTATTAGCACTTCCACAGACATCAAACTGTGTATCTAGTATAAAGAATGTAAAGCTACGTCTGGGGCGCCGCTGCCATTCTGGGAGGATCGCCCTCTACTACAAATGCTGAAATAAATAGAGACCTGCTTATCATTTTTATTTATTTTTGCCTTGAAGTTAAATATTGACATTCTTCATTGTATCATTTGCAGATAAAGCGTTTTATCGCTTCGCATGATAATTCGATTTTTCACTTAAGTTTTGTAGAATTTGGTTTAAAATGTTGATCTGATTAGTGTGAATACAGAAGAGTGCCTCACGCTGGACACTCGCTGCTGTTTCAAGTGTGTTCAACAAGCTGACTGAAGTCCATTTCTTCGTTTCAGTGATGAAGTATAATTGTTGTCATTGGTAATATTCATCTTTCCATGGCCACAGAGGAGAATCTGAGATTGTGGGTCACATTCAGCGGACAGACACTGTATTTTTTATATTTATTTCAACAAATGACAACCAAAATCAAATCCCTGGAAGCTTGTGAATAGTTTTGTAGCATTTTAAAATGCTGGATTGATGTACTAAAGCAGTGATGCTTAAAAACAGATGATGAGCCCAGAATATTAATGCAACGTGTTAATTACACATTAAGCATTTTCCTCCCTTTAGAAAACAAACAATAGCCTATTGAAAATGCTTAACGTGGCTTATGCGTTAAGACAGACTGTATTTAAAGTTCATATTTTGGGCTCATCTGTTTTCCTGCACATATGCTTTATTAGTAAGGTGTGAACAGAATGTGGTCTTTTAATATCACTGTCTCAGTGCATTAAGCGTTTTCTTTATGAGAGGAAAATGCTTGGCGTGTACACAAACGCATTGTGTTCACATTTTGGGCTCATGCGTATCTGCACATAGGATGCTTCACAATTTTGTCTTATGGCTATCTTGGTACATTAAGCGTTATTTGTGTTAAGCATTTTAATGTCTCTGTTCCAGTTCTGCTAACCCTTATGAAAAAAGAAGTGCATTTAAGTATACTTTTATAACGTGTACTTATTGCGGAAATAATATACTTTACAAGAACACACATAAGTGCAAATTAAAGGTTATTTTCGCCACTTAAATACATTGTATTTGTAATTAATTTAAAATGTATCACATTTTAAAGTTATATGAAATGCAATAAGTTGAACTTTTGAATGATTTTTTTAAACCACTTAAGTGGGACTTATTAGTACATCTTTATATGTACAATTATATGTTCATAATTGCTTCTAGTGTCTTTAAAATATGGTTAAAGTGTACTACTAATGTACTGACAAGCAATTAATGTAAAATATACTTTAATGTCAGTTAACGATACACTTAAGTGTGAATTAAATGTAATGTTTTCGACCACATAAATGCATATTATTTGTACTTGATTTGAAATATATTACAGCTTAAAATTACATTAATTGCAATTAGTTTAACTTTTGAGTGATATTTTTGAACCACTTAAGTGGAACTTTAGTATATTTTATATGTACTTTGAAATATGGTAAATATGTACTTCAGAATAAGCAATTCATGTGAACTAAAATATACTTCAATGTAGGGATGGGCAAAACAAATTGAATGCGTAAAGCCACTTCTCGTGATTAGTAGTAAATCTGCAGCACGTGCTTTCAGATGGAGCGGTATTTACTTCACAGAGTCGTAGTTCACTGACAAGCTACACAAAATCGCGTTCAAAATCGCATGCGATTCATTGCCGATTTTGAACGTGATTTTGTGTCATATCTCTGGCAATGAATTTGAAATTTAGTACATTTTTTTTTTAATTTCTTAATTACCTAGTTACAATCAACGCAAACACAAATTGGAAAACCCTCTACATTTATTGACAAAACAATTTCTAAAACAAATACACAAAAACGCTTTTTGCTGATGCGCAAGAAAAACCCAACACTATACACAGTTACAACACTTTAACTCACTTATTAGTGTCTGGAGAGCAATGCAAAATCACTTACATACAAAAGTACCTAATCTCACCATCATAGAAAATGATGCCCGTTTCCTCATTGGGGACCTCAAAATGTCCACAAGGTCAAAATGTACTGGTATTACTATCCTTGTGGAGTCATTTGGTCCCCATAACGTGTAGGATTACTAGCACACACTCACTTAATAAAAAAAAAATCAAGAAAATTATCCTTCCATGTACAACAAATGAGACCTTATTGTAAAACATTACCAAACTGTGTTACTTGCGTTACTTGTACCCCCGGTTTCACAGACAAGGCTTAAGCTTAGCCCTGGAATGTAATTCTGAGCCGTTTCAACTGAAAGAAAATTGCACTGACTGATCTTTAAAAATATCAGTGCCTTTGTTTTGTCTCAAGATGCACACCAATAATGTTTTTTAAGGCATGTTAATGAAAATTACTTAAATGTCCTTATTGAACTATGATCATTTTATAACAACCATTGTTATAAAACATATCCAGTCATTATAAATGGTTCAGTTGAGTGAAATCAATAGACACAGTTGCAGTCCAAAGTTTATATACACCTTGCAGTATCTGCAAAATGTTAATCATTTAAGCAGTAAGAGGGTAGAGAGGTAGAATCATTAAAAAATTGCAATTTCTGCTCTGATGAAGCAGTTTACTCTGCAAAGGTGCATGCAAACTTTTGACCATATTTGCATCACCTAAGAGGTGAATTACCTCAATCATCAGGGCAACATCGTAGTAGAATGCAGGGAGATGTTCCTTCACATTCCCTACAAACACCAGAATTCCTGACCACAGCATCTTCACTGACACTGGGCTTTAAAAATAGATTACAATTTTACAAAATTTTTGTATTCCTACTTTACAGGGAATACAACACAGCTTTATCAATTACAAAAAAAATTTGATAAATATCCCAAAATCCATGAACATGAAGAAAGGTACCTTCAATTTTTTTTCTCAACTTGCCTTGTAAGCTTCTCTCGCACATCTTCATGAAGGATGTTCCTGTATTTACCACGGCTGGCACAACAAAGCTGAAGCTCCCTTCCTTGGGTTTGTTACCTGTAAAATATATGCTAATTAGAGGGGGGTCTATAAATGCACAGGTGGGAATATGTTATTTGCAAATGGAAAAGATTCAAAGAAGTTAAAATCCATAGGGATAGTGACCTAATGGCACTTTTAGCTTATAATGTGTGATCAGGGTGAGCTGACTGGGCAACAATTCATTAAAGGGGTCATATGATGCTGCTCAAAAGAACATTATTTTGTATTTGGTGTAATGAAATGTGTTTATGCGGTTTAAAGTAAAAAAAACACATTATTTTCCACATACTGTACTGTACACCTCTATGCCCCGCCTTTTTGAAACGCCTACATTTTTACAAAGCTCATCGGTCTGAAAAAGCGATCCAGCTATCCAGTGCGTTGTGATTGGTCGAATACCTCAAGCATGTGACGGAAATGTTACACCCCTCACCATACTGTTGATGCTATGTCCGGCCGGAGCGATGAGACAAAAACATTAAAACCCATTACATACGAGGCATTTGTTGCATCCAGTGGGGACATAATTCCTGATTATAATGACTTATACTGTCTTTTTACGCGTTCCATCGCGCCGCGTGAACATAAAACCCTGTCTGCATTTGTGATCAGAGAAATGACAAACAACAAGCGCTACTCTACACTGCCCAAAACTCACGTTTGAATCATCAGTGGCAAATCCTTTAAATGAAAACGTACTTACAGACTGTGAGTCAGAACAGCCGGCATTGTAGTCAACTCTCCCAGGATCAGGAAACAGTCCTCCATAAAATGTGCTGCGCACATCTGGATATTAGGGTTAAACTGTTTTGGAACAGTGTTGTAAATACAACTTAACCACTGATTTGTAGTCGTGTCCTCTATTGGAAAACCAAACAAAGTAGTTTTGCTTTCACAACGAAAAACACGGCGGCCTAGCGTGAGCGGAAGCCGCGGCTTAGCGTGAGCTGAGGCTGGGCTAGAGTGAGCAGAGGCGGCAGGGTCGAGAACGGCGCAGCCGGCGGATTTGACGAAGGAGCGGCAACCACATGTGACATCCACGGTGAAAGCCGATCCGGCGATCCAGAGCACTAAGTTGATGTATTCCCTCAGCGACCAGCACGGATCAGCTCTAGGCATGACGAAGCGGATATCGTCCTCTTTTGGAAGACCAAACAAAGTAGTTTCGCTTTCACAACGAAGCACACAGCGTCTTCACGACATGGCGGCAGCGTCAACAATACTACAGTGAGAATAAAAGTTACTCCTTCTTTCTTTGCATGAACATTTGAGCGGTGTTATGTAAATCTTCCCACATAGTGAGGTAGATATGTGGGGGCGTGTTAGAACGAGCCATTTTAGGTTGGTGTGGTTAACTCTTAACTTTTATAAAGAATATCTCTTTGGATTTGAGACTTTAGTCTTTGCA